TGCTAGATTTCCCAAACATTCAGCTTTCATATACATTATTTGGATTCATTCTATCTATTACAGTTTTCGAGAAAATCTATGAAATGTGAAAACACTGCTTTTTCGAGCGTTGTTTATTAAACAATATTGTTAACATTTGTGCAATAACATTTTCAAAAAAAGTACAAACAAATTTATTGGAAAATTGGAAAAAAAAATAGTAAACTTGATTGTGAATCCAGATTAGAGTTTATTGTTCAAGGACGAAACGTAAACTTTTCTCTCTTTTCTATAATTTGTTGTTGTATTGATTATAACTTATATAAAATAAAAAAAAAACTGATATTGAAATCCTTGAAGAAGTTAATGAGTTCAATACAAAATGCTGTTATCGTTGAATCGATGATTGAAATTCGATTCATTTGCAGAAAGTTGATGAATGATTTGGATGCTGAGGAAAGTTTGGTTTTGCTGAAACTAAACGCGTTTCAGCTGAGACAGCTGATTACGTTATGAAGGTCCTTTTTTAAGTTAATCTGTGGATAACGTTACGCAATTCGTGTTTAAATTGATAATTATGTACCGGAAGTACAGTATATATTTTTTTTTCTTCTTTTCGTCGATTTTGATATGAACTTCTGCTTCCGGTTTCGTGATTCCGAGCAGCGAATGCGGTCAGTCGTCGGACGAATCTTCAACGATGCGATGCGCAATGTTAACAATAATGATGGTCGTGATCCTGTTCGTCGTAGGTGGCGGTGTTCGAGGTGCGGATGTCGTTTGCACGCGTCAAGTGATGTAAGGGATCCAAGCATGCACACACACACGAAGATCGAGATCTAATCGCAATTGTTTTTGTAGTAAGCAGATGGCGGAGTACAAGTTGTCGAAGAAAGAGATGATTCATTTCTATATACAGAACATGCGGAGACTCGCGAAGCCGGTGAAAAATAGGGAATTGTTGACGAAGGGCGGTTGCCGTTACCTTTGGGTGGATTGCTTGGAAAAGGTATTTCGAATTCGATTCGGTTTTTTTTTTTTGTTGCTTTCGTCTGATTCTTTAAAGAAAACTGACCTATCGTCAGATAAATGCACATGACGTATTCGCTGATAACAGGATTACGAGAATATCTCAAGGTCGTGCGTTCGCTGCATACAAATAACATAATTTCCATAGAAAACTATCAACTTTTCAAGAATTTTTATTTTATTGGTGTTTAGCTGAAAATCACTGTTAAATCCTGTTGCAATTGTTCATTTTTAACCAATTTCATTAACAAAATATTACAAAAAAAAAATAAGAAACTTTCGTTTACTTACTTAATGTTAAATTACTTTAAATTTTTTATTATTAACCAA